GGTTTCCAGGCGGGGCCCCCACCCCATGGTAACACGAGCTCCCCGCTCTGTGCCCCCCACGTGCCCCACCCTGGGTCTGGCTCCCCAGGGTGGAGGCACAGAACCGGGAACTGAAGCCTCCCCGGCCCAGAGCCCTGAGCAGGGCTGGTCCTGTTGGGGTCTCCTGCCCCCGACACTCGACCGGACAGACCCACTGCTGAGCATGGTCCCTGCCCTCTCTGCGCCCCTGGGGGAAAGGCCGCCTCACCCACGAATGCCCATGAATAGCTACAGCCACCTCCATGGGCTCTGTGGTGCCCTGGCAGCCAAAGGCAGAGCCTGGTGCCCGGCAGAAAAGCCCAGGAGACGCAGCAACTCAAGGACCCGCGCCCAGCAGAGGAGCGCCTGCTCAGTCCTCCCGGGGCCTGCGCTTCCTCCCACACCCTGTGGCTGCAGCTGCCACCAAAACCACTCTGTGAGCAAAGAAAAAGCCGGGCCGTGACCCGGGGGTGGTAACCCTGGGGCCTGTGCATCCTTGACCCCCAAATGCAACCTGTCACCTCCACCCTTCTCTGGGAGCCGCAGGGAGGATGACATACTGCAGACAAATCGCTGCAGCCCACATCCCACGGGTCCTGGCCTCCCAGGCCCAGGTAGCTGCCGGCTCAGGTGGCTGGTTGGATGGAGCCTTCCCCGACCCGGCCTCCCACAACCCGAAGCATAAATAACCCCACATTTCACAAATAGCCACGGCCAAGAGGCTGTAAAGCAGCAAAAATATATGTGTGCCCCTATGACTTAGAAATAGTTCCTAAAAATTACTGTTTACTCGGTGTAGGTGGAACGGGGCGGGGGGGGGGGAGGCACGTGAACACATCACACCTCCGAAGTTCTCGCTGCCCCTCCGGGCCAGCCCGGCACCGGAGTCGGTCGGGTTCCGTGGGCAAAGCTTTCTTTACTCCTGACACGAGCCTATGACACTTTATAAAAAGAACTAATCCAGAACAATCTCTAGGTAATTAACACCTAGATAAACAAACATAAATTTCTATATTGCATTTATTTGGACTACCACTCAAATATGCGCGAACCATGCTTTTTTAATTAAAAGATAAATCCATGTGACACTTAGCTTCAAACTTAATTATTCAGCATAGTATAATAAAAAATAGAGCCCATTAAATGTGTCTTGCACTGTATTTCTGTATTAACAGCAAAACAGTTCGGCCTGGGATCATTTAAATTTTCCCCCTCCTCTTTGCCCGTGATTTCCCCGTCGCATCAGTCCGCCCCCACCGCACGCCCCCGGCTCGCTCCTGTCTGTCTCTCAACAGGTGAGAAGATTAAAACTCTTCACGAGCCCGACACACGTGCCCAGCTGGGCGGCACCCTTAATCGCACGTTTGCGATGAGTGCTGTTCTCCCCCCCGTGGAGACACGCCTCCCGTGCACGGGAGCACGCCCAGCCCTCCCCGCTCAGAATGACGATCGCAACGCTCAACACCGAATTCCGCGGGGTGGGGCGGCGCTTACCGTACACACCTGGTGAGGCTTCCACCGTCTACTGCTGCAGTACCGCCGTTAAGCAGAGGGGGGCGCGGGCGAGCCCCAACCGCGGGACCCCGCTGGCTCAGCGTCTTGGAACACGGCCAGCACCTTAGCACCGGGACTCAGCGGCTCAGCAGCGCCAGCCGCCAGGAAGCGACGTCCCCGCGGTGCCGTACCCACCTCCTCGGCAGGAGGAGCTGGTTCCTTCGGTCTCTCGCCGAGAAAGCGCGAAGTGGGAAGCACCGTCCTGGGGCCCTGCGCAGGGCCTGGGTACCTGTCAGCCGTACTGCGCAGGCGCCGTGGTGCAGAGGGTCCGAACCCCAGGCTCTGAGCCCTTGGGCCGCCAGCCTGGGGCTGCCCCGCCGGCCTCAGCAGTAGCCTGGCTTGGCCAGGACCAGGGCTGGGGAAGGAAGCTGCTGAGACATAGGTGATGGCCGGTTCGGGTTCTCCACCGCCGCCCTAGTGAGCCAGCAGGGTGGCCACGCCCTTCCACAGATGTGTGACCCGGAGCCACGCAAGTCCCGGGATGGGGCTCGGGAGCCTTCCTCTGCTTCCTGGGGGCTGCGGCGCCTAGGCGATGGCGATACCTGAGGGGTCTCAGCGCCACGGGTCTGGCCGGGCCGCTCAGTGGTTAGAGCGTCATCCTGATGGGCCAATGTGGGTCCGATCCTCGGTCAGGGCACGTCCAAGAATAAATGGGACAACAAATCCACGTTTCTCTCTCTCTCTCCCTGTCTCTAAAATCGATAATCCTCATGTGAGGATTAAAAATAAATAATTAAAAAAGTAATCCTCAGGGTGCACTGCAGAGACCCTGGTCTAGACTGACCTCTGAGCAGGGCAGGAAGGCCGAGTGTCCACAGAGGGCCCACGGTAGCTCAGTGCCCCAGTGGGTTCCTGGCCATTTGCACCCTGACCACAGTTCTCGCAGCCTGGGGCCCGGCCGCCCTCTGCCCGGCCCTCAGGTGGACCCCCTGACCTCAGAGTGGGGCCCGTGTGGGCCACACTGTCTCCGGACTGAAGATACAGGAGCAGAGTTCAGGGGACGGGATTGTCCACCAGGATCACACGACCTGGGACCTCAGAGCCCGCAGGGCCTTCGCTCCCGTGGCTTCTCCGCCTGGCCCTGTCTCCGTCCCGCCTCAGCCCTCGTCACCTCGCAGGGACTCCCCAGCACCTGGGAAACCCACACTATCTCGGAATCTCCTCTGACGAATATTTAAGATTCGTTTTCGATGATCAGATTGAAGGCAGTTTCTCTGCAGACAGTGGCCTGCGGGCCTCCTGCCCCGGTGCCTGACACATAGTAGGTGCTCTGTGAACTCCCCTTCAACAAGCAGATGAAATAACCTCTGACCCAAGACCACGACAGCAGCCCCCACCCCGACACCCTGAGAATGGCACGGAAATTGTCAACATTCTGCTTTTCACAGACAACAAAAAGTTGGAGACCTTGGTCCAGGAGCCGCTTGTCTCTGAGCAACCCTGATCTTAGGGCCCAGGCAGTCTCCCCAACACCGGGCTTTTTAGAGGGCGGTGTCGTGGGGGGGAGACCAGTCTCAGATTTACCATAACTGGTGACGAAGCCCAGCCTTTGCCGAGTCCTGTACAAAATGTTCATGGCACACCTCCCGTTTCATTGCATTTAAATCCGTCATTTCGAGGATGCAACCAGCGAACAGAGCCGTGAAACCGTTCCCGGTCGGGCTGACAGTGAGCAGTTCCTGCAGGGCCGCCTCACGGCCGGCCCTCCCCGACGGGGCCACTGTTTACGGCTGTGTCAGAGCCTGAGTGTGCGGGTGGAAGTGTGTGCGGGGGCTCCTTCCCGAGACCCCCTTCCAGTCCTATTCGGATGTTACAATAGCTTTCTGGGAGGTCATTCACGCACCACGAAAGTCATTCTTTTGGTGTGGACTTTGGTGGTTTTTAGCATTTGGGGACTTGGCCGCAGAACTGCTGCCTAATTTTAGGCGCTTTCTACCCTTTGAGAAAGAGGACGGCCCACATGGCTCTACGGCTCACCTGCCCCACCCCACCGGCCCCCGAGCAGCTGCCCGTCTCCGTGGGTTGGCGTGTTCTGGATGTGCTGAACATGCCACCACGCACCAGCTGCTCCTGGGTCACTGGCTTCCGTCACCTGACGCTGTCTTCTCGAGGCTGGTGCAGGCGAGTAGCGGTCCATTCTACAGATAAACCTCATTTTCCCATCTATTCATCACAGTTTATAAAACACAGGCAAGCCAACAGGTAAAAAGCGGGAACCGCCCAGGAACCCAGGCATCCGGTGTCCCTTGAGGACTCAGAAGCCCCTGGGCCATGTCTCCTGTGCTGCTGTGGGTGGTTGTTAGGTTCCAGAGACCCCGAGACCCCAAGCCTGCTCTCTGCCCTCCCGTGCCCCTGGACGCACCTGGGTTTGGGGACAGCACATCCGGCATTGTGACCCCTCAGTCAACCCCTTTCCCTGGCAGGGTCACTCCCCGGCCCTGCAGGAGAAGCCCGGTGACTCCCCTTTGCTGTTGGCAACAGCAGCTGGGATGCAGAGGGTCTCGCTGCCGTCTGCTCCTCCGGCAGCCCCCACAGTCTGAGAGAAGCGCCGCGATGAGCAAGTTCCTGTACCGGGGCTTCCGCACACTGCGGGCGCTCCTAGTCCAAGGCTGCCGCCTGCACGAATCCGCTGCGATCCGAAACCAAACCCAGGACCACAAAACCGAATGGGGACGCAGCTCTGCACCCCCCCAGCCCCGGTGTGGGGTGCACGCTCCCAGCCATGGGGACCAGTGTCTGGGCTCCACCCCACCAGGCGCAGACACCGCCCCGAGGTGGCCTTTGCTCTCTGTCTTTGCTTCCGGAGGGAGAACCCAAAGTATCCTCGGATGACATGGAGGTAGAAGGCTTCCTCGAATTTAATGATTTTTGAAAAGAAAAAAAACTTCCTGCTGGTGAAGGGGAATAATAGATCCCAGTGCTGTGAGTGTCTCCTATAATTATTGTGACGTAAAAATTCCACAGGTTTCCCCTTTACTGAAGCCGATGTCTGTGAGCCTTCCCAAACAGTTCACACTCGAGTGAGGGTGTGCACACACACACAGGCACGCTCGTGCATGCACGCACGCACACGCTGTTCGCACAGCACACAGAGGGTCGTTCGGCCTCAGCCCCGCCGTGGGCACCGCCGCCCAGAGCACCGCGGGGCTTCTTTCTCCACGCGGGGCTGGACCCCGTCGGCCGGGCGGGAACAACGTGACCTCCAAGTCCTCGGGCACATAAGTGAAAGGAAAAGATGTCGTTTTTTCCAGAGGTAGAGGTTTTATTGCATAAAACACTGGATAGAACGGGACTGCTTCAAAGACATTTTATTCTAACAGCAGAAAGAAAACAGTCATTGCTGAAAAAACAACTTTTAATACTTTCTATACCAGAATAAAGTTCTGTCAACTGATGTCTTATAATAATAAATAATGACCCAGAATAAACTTTAAATACAAAGTTGTCTACTTGTTACAAGCATAGCAACGAAACCCTCTACTCTACTGACCTCAGGCCTCCTCCGCGGCAGGCTCTGCTCCGTGGAGGGGAGGCGGACGGTACTGACCAGCATCACAGACCACAGCAGTTACGGGGGGACTGGACATGTTCAGATATGAGAACCCGGCGACATTCGGAGCTGACCCTGCGTCGCGGGGGCGATCGCTCGGCGTCAGAGGGGGCGGGGGCGGCAGCACGGGACACAGTGGAACCAACACACACGCCACGAGAGGGGCTGCCCGGCGGGCGGACAGCGTTATTGCCTGGCGCATCTGGCGATGCTCAGAAGACACGAGAGAATACTGGGAGCTCCAAAGTGCTAGAAATGGAATGTGGCTCTTGTTTTGTTTTTTTCCTCTTTTTTTTTCTTTTTACTTTTTTATCTTGTTTTTTTTTTAATATATATATTTTTTTCTTTGCTAAGATACCAAAGGCGGGGCAAACACACAGAAAGCAAGCGACCGGCACAGCCACCAAACACAGCAGTGCAGTGAGACTCCTACAGCATTACTACAGTTGGAGAGTTTTCAGTCACATCGCTGTCCCTTCTCGAGGACCGTAGAGACAGTTGCATTAAGTGTATCGACTCGATTTAAGTAAGGCAGTGAGAACTAGTCTAGAAAAAACAAAAAAGCAGCTTGCCGTACGCCCAACGGGCCGCGGGGCCCAGCGGCCTCACGCGCGGGGAGCCCGGGCTGGCGACGCCGGCTCCGCGGCCTCTGCACACCGCGCTCCTTCTGAGCCCGAGACTCCCTCCCCGTCTCGGGAGAGCAAAGCGTTGTATTTACATCGATTGCAGTTTAGAGTTTTTGTAAACTGCGGGAGGCAGAGCTGAAGTTTTTAAGGCCCTGGGGTTTTATCCTGTGCTCCCAGCCTGCAAGGAAATGTGGACTTTTTCTTTTTTTAAGTCTGAATGATCTCGTTTTAGAAGTTACAACTTCCCGGTTTCTCTAACATCCCAGACAACAGCACCAGTTCGGGGTCACTCAAAGGAAGACCATTAGGAGGCCGGACCTTTCCTCCTGTCTAGTGGATTCGAGAATAAACCCTTAACTAGTGTTCTTAAACCGTTTTGTTTTTCTAATGAGTTAAGTGTTCCATTATTGGCCCTCAGCATCTCCCTCTGGGTGGTGAAGAACTCGATCAATTTGGATTATCCAATCAGTAGAAAATCTAAAATCTACAAAAATAGAGAACACATTTGTTTTACAAAAACAGACATTTGAACTCAAACAGTTTTCTCCATTAGCGATAGAGAGCAGGATGTTTAGATTCCTGTTTTAATGCGGCTCTTTCACGAGCGCTCGCCGGAGAAGAGGGCCCGGTCCGTGCCTGCAACGCTGATTAAAACTCAGGCGAGGATGAGCCTGGCGACAGGGACCCGAGCAGCCTTCGTTCAAGTCGGAGTTTAAAAATCACAACAAAGAACCGTCTTGCTACCATTTCTGCTTCTCCCCAGCACCTTCTGTGGATAGGGTCGGCTAGTGTTTCAAAACAGTGTTTTTTTAATGTTCCCCTAAATTTTTTGAGTAGCCACCTTCTTTTTTTATCCAAAAATTAAAAAAAAAAAAAAAAAGACTGAGACAAGCCAGGGGGAGAAAAAAGCACTTCCCTCAATACTGCAATTTGAGCTAAAAAAGGAATGACTCATCCAACCAGCCACGGGCATGGTCTGCAGACACTTCCGGGCCAGCCGCGGGCTGCGCGGTTAACGGCACACGCAGAGGCCTGCTCGGGTTTCCCAGAGCGCAGCCACCACGCCCGCCTATTGATTTTCGGGCCGAGGCCGCCCCAGCCTGGCTGGCACCAGGCTGCCTCCCTGCGCCTCATTAGGGTGCCCGTCCGTGACAGCCGCAGGCGGCGGACGCTGGAGGTGTTCGGACGGGGAAACACAGCACCTCCGTCCTCAAGGCAACACTAAGCGTTCGGGTGGCACCGTCTCCAGCTAAGAGCTCGGTTTTTGGACAAAGACCCCGTGGCAGGGGCACAGGGGCTCCTCAGCAGCCGCCCCCTGCCCCACCTGCCTTGTTTGGAAGTTCTTGTTGCCAGGTAACAGTTTAGCAGCCATTTTCAAGGGCTGGGGACCTTTTTTGTTTAATATATATATATAGATATCTCTTTAAATTTCTTAAATGTCCTATATACTAGCATGGGGGGTACACATGATCCCCCCAATGCGGTTAGCACACTCTTTTACCAGACGTAACGCTAGACCTGTGCAAGGTGACAGCCCCGTCCAGGCGGAGGGCGGGGGGCGGCGGGGGGCTCAGTTGCACTCCTCCTGGGCCTGGCCGCCCTCCTCCGGGAGCTCCGAGCCCCCCGCCTTGACAGCCGACAGCTCCTCGCAGCTCCCGGCCAGCTCCGCGTCGACCCTGGAGCGTTTGAAGCGGCGGTCGGGGTACTGGCTGTTGTCGAAAGGCATGCGATGCACACAAAGCACGTGGGTCTTCAGGTTCCCCTTCTGGGAGGCGCTGTAGGGGCAGTAGCGGCACTGGAACGGCCGGGGACCTGCGGGCAGAGAGAGCGCGGTCAGGCCTGCGGCTCCGCCCCTGCGGCCCCGCCCCTGCCCCCGCCCCGCCCGGCCCCGGTCACTGCCTCCTGGCAGTGACTTCGCAGAAATCAGCAAAGGAAGGCACCGCAGCCAGTGCCTCTGTTTGGGCCAAGAGGTTGCTGAGGTCCCAGACAATCACACCCGGGACGGGGACGTCATGGGGACGTCATGGGTCCGTCTGTCCTGGCCAGAGGTTTTAGTTTGGCCACCAGGTGACCCACAGGAAAGGTCCCGACCCCTGAACCTGTTCTAATGGAAAGTTAGATAGTAAATAGTGGGGCCTCCGCAGGTCAGCAGGCAAATTGAGATACAAGGTGCGTACTTATATTGATCTGACAAGAGAGGAAACACGGGTCCAACCTTTCATGGCAGAAATGCAGTCATTTGCTATGGACGCTAAAATCGGAATCTCATTTTTTTTCTCCGCCCCTTTAAAAATGTAAAAACGATGCTTCACTCATAGGCCGTTCAAAGACGGCCCGCAGGCAGATGGGGCTCCCGGACTGCACTTGGTGGACCCAGCTGTACACAAAGAAGCCAGCTCCTCCTGGGCCCCCCGCCTCCTCCCGAGCTCCGTCTGGGACCCTCAGTCCACGTCAGCAGAGGCGGTCCCCGTTCTGTCTGCCATGCACGCAGTTGACCCGCAAGCTGAACGTGGCAAGGGGCAGACAGGACCGGTGTCCCAGCCTGGGCGCAGCTGGAGAGCCGAGCCGGAGGCATCTGTGGGGCCTGGGTTTCACCAGGGCCACCATCCACCTGAAGAAGTTGGATCATGAAGGGTGGCCCTTGTCGTCAAAGGTTTCTAGAAAGGCTTGGAATCTGAGCCAAGGCGGATGGACCCCTGTGTCTGAGCCCCTGAGCTAAGGTCCGAGCAGCAGGGCTCAGCAGATTCGCACCCATTGCCGCTGTCTGAGGGGACTGCAGGGCGTCGGCTGGGGAAGCTAGGGTGGGACTCTTGGTGCCCGAAGCTGGGACGTGTCACTTCTGGCAGCTCCGGAGCACGGTCCCCCCCCCCCCCCCCCCCCCCACATCCATGAACGTGTGAGACACACGGGCCTGGCTCTCATCTGCTCAGCAAAACAAACAAGGAAATCACCGGCCCAGCCATCTGCCCCCGGAAACATTCAGGCGGCATCCGAGCCCTCCTTCCACAGCCTCGCTCCTGGGTGGTTGGAGGCCAAGCAAACCCCCTTCCCCACTGAGCGGCAGGCACACCGGGCCGGCGGCGCCTCCTCTGCCGTGGTGTCAGGAGTGGCTCCTTCCCCCGTCCCTCCAGGACCCTCAGCATGAGGAGCAAAACCCGAGAGGAGCCCCCTTGCTGCTGGTCTCTCCACGCCCACGGCCGGCAGCGGAAGGGCCGGACAGCCAGCAGGAGGGGTCCTGCCAAAAACTGGCCTGAGAGGCAGGCCCATCGGCGCCCTTCTCCTCCAGCCTTCCTGCTACCTGGCCCCTTCCTCGGGGGTCGGCCACCTCCCCACAGGGGACAGGCGAGGCCCAGGGTTGAGGGGAGAGAGCACTGAGACTCCCATCTCAAAAGCGCATTGGGGATTTCCACAAGGAAGGTAAACGTCCCTATTCTCCGTCATGTGGGACAAGGGGAGAGTCGGGTGACAGTGTGGCAATAGGGAGGGAAGCCTTTTCTGTGCGGCTTCGGTGCGACACCTTTGGGAAGCTGCGCTCTGCGTGCTGTGTCCCCACAGGACCCACGGAGGCTGCGTCTGTCTCGGCAAACCAAACGGAGAACCTCGATCATCGCCGTTACCCCCAAATAAAAGCCTCTCCGAATCCACCCAAGTGGCATAAAAAGCCTTCGGTACATTATTCCCACAAACTGACTTTAAATATGTGACTCTGGCCGTCCCACCAGTTTCCTGGGGGAGTGGATGACGTCTGCGACTCTGGCACATTCAGGGAGTTCCTCCGTCCCAAGACGGACTTTCCATCTCCACCCAGGTTGGCCACCTGCGCACGGGTGTGTGCGGAGGGCGGCCCCAAGGGCCCGAGTCCCACAGTCCTCCCTGCTGGCTTTGTGCCTCTGTCCCCACACTGGAGCCCTGTGGCCACTTCGTCAAGGCCAGCAGCTGGCCCGTGGCGGAGACGAGGAGGCTGAGGCACCACATACCCGAGCCGTTGACTTTGAAACCCATTCCCAGAGGCTGCAGCGCACCCAGGCCCTGAACCCTCCCCAGTCCTTTTGAGAACCACAAAGTGTTTCATTTGACACACACGCACGCGTGCGGGCCCGCAGGCACACACACTGCAAACACACACATGCACACACAGCACAGACATGCCTGTGTGCACAGAAACACACAACATGCAATACACAAGCACACACGTGTGATGCATACACATGTGCACACACGCACAAGCAGGTGTGGGTGTACACAGGTGTGCATACATACCCTCCTGAGTGGTGTTTTGAAAGGCCGCCAGGTCCCCAGTGTGGGAGGACGTCCGTGGGGGGACAGGGGTCTCCCGGTGAAGGAGGGTGAGGCGCCTGTCTGCACACGAGCCGGTTGCTCCACGCAGGAGGGGGCAGGGGCCAGGCCCACAGGGCCCCGGAGGGCTCGGACCTCCTTCGGTGGAGAAGGGAGGCGGGCGGGCTGCCCACCGGCCCAGCGTGCCTGGCTCCCGTGCCCAGCCGGGCCCCGCGCCCGACCCCGCGGCCAGGTGCCCCGCACCCCCAGCCCTCACTCCGAGGCCATCGACACTCCTCCTCATGCCCACGTGAAAAGTAAGTACATCGTACGTTAATTTGTATTGTCACTGCGCCGCGCCACCGTGGTAAAGAGCGCATCTATTTTTAATCCGCGATGAATAATATATAAATATGTATACAGTGAGCGGGGTCAAGAGGAGTGAGGAGGAAGCCAGCGCGCGCTGTCTCCTACCGGCGTGGGGGGAACGGGGGATTTTTCTTACTTGCTGTGATGGAAGTATCTGCTCTCCCCGCCGTTACTGGAGGGAGAGAGGGAACTGCCTGCCCTTGGGGGGCCGTCCATTAATTACAGCGGCCCGTGCCTGGGTGCCGGCCCGCAGGGCTCCAGGGCTCCCCAGACTGCTGGCCCAGAGGAGTGAGGGGCCAGAGGGGAGGGGACCGACCCCAGGGGTCCAGGGTTCCGTCCTGGGGCACAAAGAAAACCTTCTGGCCCCACCCCTGGGGCAGGTTCCCAGGGGCGACGGGGGCTCTTCTCACACGGGCCCGGGCAGCATGGTGGGAGGGGCTCCCGCTTCACGGACAGGAGAACCAGACCCTGGGGGTGAAGCAGGGTCCGTGGGCAGGGGCCCCAGCCCCCTGGGTGCTGGCCAGGAGGTCACCCCGGGGCACGGCTCCTCCGCCAACAAGGGGACACCTGGAGGGGGTCCGTGTGTGTGTGTGTGTGTGTGTGAGTGAGATTACACACCAGTCACGTCCCACAGCCCAGTGCACACCGGCACCACTGTGGCCCCCAGATGCCCACTAGAGCTGGACGCCGAGTGTGTGGCCAGCGCTCAGCCACAGGGCTGGGGGCACCCCGTCCTCGCCCCCGTCCCCCACCGGAAAGACCCGGCCCGGCCCCCGGAGCACCCAGCCTGCCGGCTGTTGGAACCGCCACCCGCGCAGCACACATGCTGCCTGACACACGCACTGGAGGGCGGCGGCCAGTCCAAGGCCACCGTCAGGGGTCACGACCTCCCGCAGACACCCTGTGAGGAAGAAGCAGCCCGGAGTCTCACAGCGGGGACGCCTGGCCACCTGGAGCCTGGCTCTAGCTGCCGGTGACAGGTGCCTCGAGGCGGGGCCTGGACAGCCCCTGGTAGAGGAAGAACGTTCTGGAGAGAGACACACCACGGAGCAGCCGGCCTCGGCTTTGTGTGGGGACAGAGATGCGGCCCCGGACTCGGGAGCAGGTGCAGCCTGGAGCGCAGAGAGGCCACCCAGACCCAGGACTCGTGGTTTGGGGCCCACACAAGGGAACGGCTCCGGAGGAGAGTCCTGTGAGTTCGTGGTGGACAGTGGGGTCCCCGCCCCTGGCAGACACGGGGACACGGGCCACCTCTCAGACCAGCACTCCGGGGCTCCTAGTGTTGGCTGAAATGCACAGGGAGGGACAGTGGTGGGTAAGAGGAGAGGGACGCGGCCGCCACGACCTCCAGACCAGCCCGGGCGGTGCAGGTACCCACAGACCCGAGCAGCTGAAGGCCCAGGCAGCAGAGCGGGTGCCCCGTCCTGGGGAGGCCCCTCAGCCCACGGAACCCGAGGCCGAGCAGGGGCGGGGAGAGTCTCCGAGCTGCCCCAAAGGGTCTCCTGCGGCCATGAAGAGACCCCTCGAGGGGGTGGACCTGGCTCCAAGACCCAGGAAGGGCTGCTCCCCCAAGTCAGCAGCCCCCCTGCATCCCTGGCCAGAGCCCCGTGTGTGCCCCTGAAACCAAGGACACTTGCACAGCGCAGGCTGGTCGGTGAGAAGAGGGTCCCACCTGTAGGGACTGCCCCCCAGGTGCGCCCCCTGCAGACTCGGGGGTCAGTCAGGCCTGCAGGGCGGGGTCTGGCCCCCTGTCACCCTCCCACACCCTCTGAGGGTCCGCACACCGGGAGGGCCCCTGCCCAGGACCGACAGGCCAGGCGGGGGTGATGAGGCGGGCGGACAGACATGGCGACCACAGGCTGCAGGGCAGAGGCCGCTCCGGGAGCTGCAGGTGTCTCTCTGAGTCTCTTCCAGTTTCCCGAATTCCAAATAGGCCAAAGGCTCCACTCAGGTTCCCAATTCACGTTTGCAGTTTTCAAAAATGTAGTTCATCCGAAGATGCTAAAACACTTCGGAATATTCTTCATCTAAATAAGTTTGGGTTTTAAATTTCCTGTGCTTTGCGCTTTCATCTAAAACACTACAAACTGCTCCACTGTGAGAACAAAGGGGGGCTTCGATCCATGTGGGGGTGGGCTGGAGTCGTCCGCCTGGGCTCGTGTTCCCCT